AAATTTACATTCAGCCTTTAAAAAGCCATTTTCAACTGGCCATTCAATAAATAGGATGTAAAAGTAAAATCTGCAGTCATGTGTTAATGCTGCCTGCTGCTGGAAACATCGTGGAGGAAACACTGCGGCCTAATCCGCGCTGTCCTGTTTCTGTTAAAACACTGAGCAGTCTTTGTGGCTGAAGCTCCTGCCATCTGTTCCCCGAGTCTGAAGCTTATTTAAAAGTCACTTCGATCATTTCTTCTTGTCTTCTTGGTACAAAATCTGAATCTACTGCGCTGCTGAGCCTTTTTATACACGCCACAAAGCATAATTGGATGTTAATTGGTTAACTGCAATTCAGCGGCCTTGTGTTGTGGCACAGACATTGTGTGTTCGCTCCCGCTGTTCACCACTAGATGTCGCCTTTTTACGGTTTTATTTTGAAAACCCCAACCCGGAAGTTTTTTTGCGTCACTTCCCTGTAGTTCATGGTGCTGTTGAATGGTGTTTATGTGAAGTGTAGTGCATGCTGCAGGTTTAAATAGTTCTCCTCTGTTCCGTTTGTTCTGCTGTATCGTGATGTGATGCTTTTTTAAAGACGAAGAAGAAGAAGAAGCTTCGAGCAGGAGACTCATGTCTGGTTTCAGCGCCGAGCTCATTGACTACCTGGAGGGCAGGATCACTTTTGAGGAGTTCGACAGAAGGAGAGACGAGCGGAAAGCCAAGGTGGGTCACAGGTGAACAGTAGCTGGTTGCGCTGGTGAGTTAGCTAACCCGCAGAGTTCACCAGCTCAGAAGCTCTGCTACGTTAGCTAGTTAGCTCGTTAGCTAGTTAGCTAGTTAGCTCGCTGTGGAGCTGCTCCAGCAGGACTCACTGGTGCGTTAGTCTGGGTTTTAATACCGACCCAGACATAAGTGTGATGCATGGAGCAGTGAGAGAGCCAAAGCACACACAGATCAACAATGTTCTGGTATCACAGTGACCATTTCTCTCTGCTGTCCTCCGTCAGGAGTCCGGGGCAGTAACTGAAGATGTGGAGGATGATGCTCAGCCTTCCACCTCGACACAACCCGAAGGAAAAATTGGTAATCTTTATGTTTGTGTTTTTTTTAAATAGAAATAATGGCCCTTTGTCACGGTCGACATTCTGACAGCTGACAGCCAATCAAAGCTACTTGTGCAGTGTTGATGTGTGTCATGGATAAAGTATGAACAACAACAGCATCAGATGGTTTAACTCTCAACTGTTCACAGAGGACGGCGTCAGCCCAGGAGTCCAGCTGGCCTTCGCCTCCATGCTGGGAGAAACAGCAGAGCAGCCGTCGTCTGAGGCAGAGGACGAAGAGGAGGAGGACAGTCTGAGCTATGTTGATGATGAAGATGATAAGGATTACAATGCAGAGGAGGAGGAAGAGGGGCGAAAGGTGGAGACAGAGAAGAAGCAGAGGAGAGGAGGGAAAGGAGGGAGGAGGAGACAGAAGCAGAGAGCTGAGGAGGAGGAGGAGGAGGATGCAGAAGATGTGACGGTGGGAGACGTGTTTGCTCTGGAGATGGAGCTGAACCGAGAAAACAAGAAAATGATGAAGGTGAGGAGAAGGAACAGGCTCGGCGGCCATGTTCGGGTGAGTATTCCAGCGCTGACCTTGTTCATGGTTGTGTCCAGGGGCGGCGTCATGGCAGCAAGCTGCCTCGGGCTCTCAGAGGCCTGATGGGAGAAGCCAACATACGCTACGCCAGAGGAGAGAAGGAGGATGCCATCTTGATGTGTATGGAAATCATCAGGCAGGGTAGGAAGCTGTGTGTCCAGGTCTCCATCCACCTTATGGACCGAGGGACCAAAACCTCCTCTTTGTTTGTAGAGAACAGTTTTAAAAACTGGTCTGTCTTGGTCACAAAATCATGTTAAAAGTGTTCAGTCGTGTTCATGACCCATGTTCAAGACCAGCACCTGAACATGAACCTCCTCTCCCGTCTGCTCCAGCTCCTCTAGCCTACGAACCCTTCTCTACACTGGCCATGATCTACGAGGACGATGAGGACATGGACAAAGCGCTGCAGTTTGGTCTGATTGCCGCCCACCTCAACCCGTCAGACTGTGAGGAGTGGATCCGTCTGGCCGAAATGTCTCTGGAGCAGGACAACATCCAGCAGGCCATCCTCTGCTACACCAAAGGTCCGTCTGACTGTCAACAGCATTCAACACTTTGCTCAATTCTGTGGACACTTGAAACAGACTCCTACAGTTTAAGGGTCAATCTTTGATATCACATGTTTATGATGAGGATTTTTAATCAGTCATAATAATGATAATCTGCACTCCCCGGTTGCCTCTTATTCCCCTTTGCCACAGCTATAAAGTACGACCCCACCAATGTGCGCTACCTGTGGGAGCGCTCCAGCCTCCACATGCGCCTCGGAGACCACAAGCAGTGCATGGACGGATACCGCAGGATCCTGTCTCTGCTGCCGCTGGAGGACGGAGAGCACTTCATGCAGCTGTCCAAGGACATGGCCAAGTACGGGACATCTCTGATACAGGAACAGTACGGAGGTGGTGGTGGAGGCAGGGTGGAGGAGGTGATGGAGGGAGGGGTGAGGAGGAGGTGATGGAGGGAGGGGTGAGGAGGAGGTGAGGCTGTGTTGCTTAATGTTTTTTTGCCATAACAACGTAGAAACAGAACCAGTGGTTCTGGAGCCGTGGTACCGTTAAAGTCTTCATGACACCAGCCTTCCACCAAATGACTGATGTCCTCATAAGAGCTGAACTTGACCTGTGGTGTGTTTCCAGGAGCTACTATGAGAGCAACGACCTGCCGTCGGCGCTGAGCGTCATCGAGGAAGCTCTGGCGCGACATCCTGTCCTGGTCAGCGACGACTTCATCAACATGGCGGCGGAGCTCTACATCGCCAACCGGCAGCACAGCAAGGCCCTGCAGGTACACGTCTCCACCAGGTGTGCAGTGCAGTGAGAGCCGGCTCGTGTCCTTCAAGCCCTCTGCAGACATGCAGTCCTTTCCCCTGATCCGTTATGACAGCAGTCTGACTGGGTCGGACCTAATGACGGGTCTCTGTCCCTGTCAACATGGTGCACGTTTGACCTGTCATCAAAAACGCTCGGTCCAGAGCGGTACCGGAGGACAAATCCACTCTGACCACGGCGCTGTCGGTACTGTAGACAGGAAGAGGAGCGCCCTGTTGCTCTCATCACCACAACACGTGATACGTTTCCACCTTCCAAACCCAGAAGACGGGTCTCTGTCAGCCCTTTGTTTGCCTGTGGCTCGGTTCTGTCGTCTGACATTCAGAGCATCATTTAAACTGCCGTTCAGTTTTTTTGTTTCACACTCAGAGCGCCCAGAACTGTGAGGATTTGGTGATGTGGGGGCTGCAGGAAATGTCTTCATTTTCATTCTGTCTCTTGCTAGAGTCACACGTCTATTCTGTCCTAATGAAAGGGTTAGGGTTAACACTGACTGTGTGTGTTTCTAGGTCTTGGTCCAGTTTGCAGGTATTGTTTTGGTCAAAACTGAGTCCACATTCAACGTCTCTGCACCAACACAAGAGAAGAAAGTGTCAGAGAAGATGGAACAGGAGACGAAGAATGACGACAGCCTAAAGTCAAAAACTGCAGAAGACATGGCAGCAGAGGAGAACAGTGAGTGTCTGTTGGCTGTCTGTGTCTCTGTGCATGATTAGCCCGCCAGAGTCCATTCTGAGTTCACTAATGAGCCCCTGACAGAGATGGTTTATCACACTGATGGTGCTGACTGTCATGTTTCATCCTGAGAAAGCTCAGATGGCTCCACAGCAGACCGGTGGTGTGTGCTGTGTGTGGTGATTTAGCAGCAGCTCGGTGTTGTTAGCATGACATTTTGCACATCTGCACATCACTTTGAACACACAACAAACCTGAGATGCATGCACTCACAATCATGGATAGGCATGCACAACCAGTTTCTAACTGAAGCTGTTCTTTAATTCTCGTGGACTGTTTGTGTGCTGTGTCTCCAGGCGCTATTCAGGATGTCCAGGTACCCGACAGCGTCCCAGTGGACCTGAGAGCCAAGCTAATCGTCTGCCTCATACACCTGAATGTCTACACACCCCTGGAGGTAAAGAACGCTGCACGGTTTTCATTATGAGAAACAATTTAAACTGAAGCGAGGAACCTTGGTTCCCCAGGGCTTGGTGTCGGTGCTGATGGAGCAGAGTCCAGAGGAGATCGGTGACTTGTACCTGGACATAGGTGAAGCCTACCTGGAGCAGGGGGAGTACATGTCTGCTCTCCCGCTGCTGTCTGCCCTCATCATATCTGACAAGTACAACCTGGCTGTGGTCTGGCTGCGACATGCAGGTAGCATCCACAGAACACTGACGTGAAACTGAAATCCTCTCACCTCCTCTTTAGCTAAACCTGAACAGTGACACTGTTGTGCAGATGTTTTTGTTGTTCAGAAGGTTTACAATCTCTGGACATATTTTTGGAAGTAGAATTTCCGTACAGTTCAGTGATGCCACAGACTGCAGCCTCCAAAGTCACGATACAGACAAACAACATGTAGGAGAGTCATGAAAGCCACTGGGGCAGTTGGTGAGGCCACATCAAAAACATGTAGCTCCAGAGCCACTGATGTCTGCAGAGAGGACAAAACAAGGAACAATATGGCATGCAGTAGTGGTTGATGAATGCATAGGGAGAGGAGGAGAGCTCAGTGCATGATGGGAAGTCCCCCAGCAGCCCAACCTGAGCCAGGCGTACTTCAGGTTTTAAAGAAGTCAAGTTTACACCTAACTGTCAAAGTAGGGCTTTGAGTGTGAGCTGAAGGATCTGAAGTTCTGTTCTGGATTTCACAGGGAGCCAATTATAAAACAAGGAGAACACATATGATCTCTCCTGCTGGTTCTTGTCAGTCCTCCAGCTGCAGAGATGATCAGCAGCGTACATCCAAACCGCCTCTACTGTGTGAAAGTCTGTAGATGAGGAGCTCGGCACAAATGAAATGAGCCTGAATGTGGCTCTGAGTGGAGAAAATCCAAACCACTGCTGAATGTCTGCATCACTTTACTGCAGAATGTCTGAAGGCTCTGGGCCACATGGAGGCAGCAGCACAGAGCTATTCGAAGGTGGTGCAGATGGCTCCGCAGCACCTGGAGGCCCGGCTGTCCCTCGCAACGCTGCAGCAGCAGCTGGGCCGGATGGACTGCGCCCTGAAGGCGCTGGAGTCCATGTATGATAGTGACACACTGGCACAGGATTCGTCAGCTGCACAGAAGGTAGGTTCTGTGGATGAGTCTGGATGTGGCCATAAATACCAGTTCCTTAGTTTTACACTGTTCCTGATGAACACAGAGTTTCTGTAGTGTGCAGGTTTTAGAGGTGTTTTCTAGTCCAGAAGACGCTGGTTGTTATTTTGCTTCAGCAAGAACCAACAAACTCTAAACACAGGAATGAGCAGCGGTTGGTTTGCATGTTGGTGCTCATGACAAAAGGTACGAGCTCTGGGGTTCTGGCAGACGCCAGATGGAGGATCTGGGGCTCTACGAGACAGTTATTAATAACAAGTGGATGATGGAACTGACACCAGGGGGTAAGATGGTGTCTCCAGACATCAGTTGATTACCAAATCGACATGCAGACTCCAGCCCAGGGATCTCCAGCTCCGGTCCTCATCGGCTGCTGTCCTGCAGGTTTTAGAAGTCTCCGTACTGCAACACACCTGAATCAGACTCATGGATCTCCAGCAGCTTGTTGTCCAGTTCTTCACAAGTCTGTGAATGATCCATTCATGTGAGTCTGGTGTGTTGGAAACATCTAGAACCTGCAGGACAGCAGCTCACGAGGACCAGAGCTGGAGATCCCCGCTCTAGTCTCTCAATAAAACAGCCAAAGGACGTTTTTTTCTTCATCACACTTATTCAATACGTACTTACGGAAACCCGTTCCCACCAGAAAAATCATCATGAACACTTCTGGTAGTGATGCTCCCAATGGCATGGAGACCACGTGTACTACTGACTATATATTTACTGCTCCCTTCATTGATGTTTGGATAAGTTCAGCCCACGACACCTCAGACAGGCTGAGCCGTGAACTCCGGTGCCCCAGAGCCAACCGTCCAGCACATCCACTAGCAGAACACCCCAACCTGTACATATGTGCATGAAGACTGAGGTCTGTAAATGTGCTGCGTTTGTAGGAGTTGAAGCTGCTGCTGCATCGCTCCACACTGCTGAAGACACAAGGCCAGGTGCAGGACTACCTGGACGCTATGATGACCATGATCTCAATGCTGCTGAAGGTAAACTCACACATGCAGTGTTCCTTCATGGAAGAATGTTCCAGACGGTTTCTGTGTTGGTTAAAGCTAACGTGGAATCATGTAAAGAATGTGCTACAATGACATTTGCTATACAGAGAAAGTATTTTTGTGTTTACGTCTGTGTGTGTGTGTGTGTGTGTTTGTGTGTGTTTGTGTGTGTTTGTGTGTGTGTGTGTTCCAGGTGGCCATGCAGCGAGCTAAGGTGTGTTTGTGCTCTGTGGTCATGTCGGGCCAGACTCACCTGAGGCTGGTGAAGGTAGAAGACATGCTGCCAGAGATTGCTGACCATGAGACGGCCTACCTGGACAACACTGGTGTGTACACATGTGAACATGTAGATGTGTGTGGAGCCTTTAGTACCAACTAACTCTTACTGTAGGTGGAGAAAAAAAAGTTTTGCTATTGTTAAATGTCATATTTTAAGCTTGGTTTTAGCCAATCAACGACAACATTGTCAGCTGCACTGAACAATATAGTTTTTTGCTATTTGCCTTCGAAGCTGCACAGCTACCAAGTGTTCTGACTGGGCTCGGCCCAGTCCAGTGACTGATGAAAGCGGTCGACTCCTGTCGTTTCTGTATTAGTCTTTCCAACAATCTAAGTACTGGTGCTTTCCTGGCGGCCTCCCTGGTCCAGGTAAAACCAACGTTCTGTCCAGAGAGGACTGGTGGCAGCTCCTGGTGAGCTGCGTGCTGACCCTGTGCGAGGTGCAGCGCTACGAGGAGGCCGAGCTGCTTGTGGAATCCGCCATGGAGTTTTACTCTTTCTACGATAACAAGCCCAGGAGGAAGGAACTGGAGTTCTTCGGCCTGTCCGCCACCATCCTCGACCACAACTACTACAAAGCATACAACTACATCAGGTAGACTGAGCGTATGGTGCCGTCAAACGGAGCATGTGCCAAAGAGACTGACTCAAACGTCTTTGTTTTGTGTTCTTCTGAACAGATTGATGCTGATGGAGAATGTGGATCTGCCACAGCTTTGGAATATTTTCAACCAGGTGTTCCTCTGTGCAAAAATGCATCTTTTCACAAACAAAGTCAAAAACCAGAGAGTTGAAGTGGGAAGAGACTTTGTCAGCAAATGTCTAAATTGTGTCTTTCATTCTCCTCAGCTGACGATTACCTCCCAGCACCAGCGTCACCATCGCTTCTGTCTGCGACTGCTGTTGAAACACCCAGACAACCACGCCTTATGTGTCCTCTGCGGACACAACGCCATGGTGTCCGGGAGCTTCAAACACGCTCTAGGTACTAAAAACACAGATACGCCGATTGCACGGACTGTTCTGCATGTTCCGATCGCTCAACTACAAAAGGTTCACATTTGACAGGTTTTAGACCGCCCCAACCACAAGCCCCATCAGGAACATGTGGTCTGTGATGGAAAGCCAACAAACTTAGTTAATCTAATCTGATTCTGTTGAGTTGGTGGTCAAAGATACAACCAGAAGCTTCTGGACCAGCTGAGCTAGTGGCCAGTGGACGTTTAACCATACTAGTGTTGGTGTATTTGTGTATTTTTGACCCAGCACATCATCATATTTCAATAAAACCTAAAATAAACCTATGAAAGAAAATCCCAAATATCCTAAATGCATCGCTGTTTATTGTCACAAAGGCCTGTAGGTTTTAAGTATGCTGCCATAAAAAAGTCTGAGTCGTCATCGGAAATTTAAGACTGCTGCGATACTCAGGACCTTTACAGGTGTGTGTCAGCGTTTGTGTAAATGTCATCGTCAGCGTTTTCTCTTGGTCTTTCCATGTTGGGATTTCTTCTCTAAGACTGATTTAGCTAAAGAAAACCTTGAGTCCAGACCAAACCGGATGTGAATGTGTTTCCAGGTCAGTACGTCCAGGCTTTCCAGACTCACCCCAACAACCCGCTGCACAGTCTGTGTGTGGGTCTGACCTTCTTCCACATGGCGTCTCAGAAGTATGTCGGCAAACGACACACGTTGGTGCTGCAGGTACGGAGTTGGTTGTTTTTTTCTTTAGTTTTACTCTAACCCTTCAGTATCATTTAGGATTACAAACTGTTGTGTGGGTTTCTTTCTTTCTTTGTTCAGGGCTTCTCCTTCCTGTGGCAGTATGTGGAGCTGCGAGGAGAGTGTCAGGAGACGATGTACAACCTGGGCCGAGCGCTGCACCAGATGGGCCTCACACATTTAGCCATCCATTACTACCAAAAGGCACTGAGACTACCTGCACAGAAGCTGGAGGTAGGTGGACACACACAGCTCCTGCCATAGTCATGGTGTGTACCCAGTTCCACTTCAAGTTTAGAAACATCTCCCTCGCTTTGATTTAAGATGGTGATGAACGTATCGACACCAACAGCTCATTTCTTCTGTCCTGTTTTTTGAGAACACGCTGTTCTTCAGTAAACCTTAATGATGGCAGCCTTATAGATGTGTTTATTTTGTCTGCTCTGCACCCCTTCACTCTGCAGGGTATCGAAGACGATCAGGTCGATCTGAGCAGGGAGATCGCCTTCAACCTGTCCCTCATCTACCAGGCCAGTGGAAACATGGAGATGGCCCGACAGCTCATCAACACACACTGCATTGTTTGAGATTTCACACAAGTCTTATCACACGTTCCTCTTCTTCACCAGCGTTTCTGATGTTTGAGCTTTGAGGCTCCGGTTCAGTTCTGGCAACGCAGTCACCAGAAACTCAGAAGGTCTTCTGCAGAAATGAACATATACGTTGGTAAATGATGAAATATTACTGAAGTAAATAAATACACAGCTGTAGAAAATACCAGATCAAACCCCAGAACAAATACCTGTATACTGGTTACTGTGTAGTACATTGTGAACAACAGTTTACACACTCTTGTACCAACTGTGCATATCATGGCAGCTTTGAGCTTCCAATGACAACAGCTTTTAATTTTTTATAATGGAACAACTGGAACATGTGTTTTTGTCACAAAAAACAATCATGGATTTAGTTTCATGGATAAATACACACACAGCGCCTTGAATTATCACTTCTGATGATGTTGATATCGTAGAAAATGAGGAATTGCAGGAGTCATTGGAAACCCCAGGGTGCAAAGATACGCATGCCCTGTTCAAGTGTGTGTAAAGTTTTGTTCACAACTGTGTAAATGATTCTTATTTCCGCATGTCTTCATTTATTTCTCTATATTAGTGTTCAGAGGAGATTTGTTCCAACTGCATCGTACAACATGCATGAACATGGCATCACTTCAGCTGTATTATTATTGCTTTGCTAGAAATGTATGAAACAGAGCTGACGTCTCCTGATTTAAGCCGTCTGCTCTGCAGTGTGACCACCAAACACAGGAACAGATAAATACCTGAATACATTTAGAACATAAAAGTAGAAAGGATGAAACGGACAAATCTTGAAGCAGAAAAAAACTAAATTTGTAGAAACGAATGATGTACGAGGTGAGTCAGAAAAGTTCCAGGACTGGTGTCACTGAAGATGTGTCTCAAACCCAAACTACCAACCAGGAGTTCTTCCCTTCAGACCATCAACCAGCTCGTCTACAGAGGTCCTGCAGCGTTTGCTTCGTCCAGAAGAGGCAGAGTTGTGTCAGGACCAGTGGAGGCTGCGTCACCATGACAACCTGCTCACAGCGCCCTGAGCATCCCACAGCTCCTGCTGAGAAGAACATCTCCTCCCTACTCACCCCACCTGGCTCCGTGGGGTTGGTTCCTCTTCCCCAAGCTCAAGGGCTCATCAAGGAGACCCGTTTAGAAGACGTGGACGACATCCAGATGGCTGTGAGGACGGAGCTGAGAGGATCCTGGAGAATCCTTCCAGGAGTGAAGAGAAGGCTGGAGGAGGGTGGTAGAGTCCAGGAGGGTTACTGGGAGGATGAACACTGGGAGTTTGGAGTTTGGGTTTGAAGTCTGTCTTCTGTGACACCAGTCCTGGAACTTTGGTGACACCCCTCGAATATATTCATTCAGCTTCTTTAAATATCAGATTATTTCATGGTTTTGTATTTATCGTTTTTTTTTTTTTAAAGAATTTCTATTTTTCTGACTGTCGGCGCTGCTGGTGAATGAATGCAGATGTCGGTTATCATTTCAGTTCTACAAGATTGAGGCCATTTTATGTCGTAACGTTTGCTGTGTAACGTGTGTGGAAACTCGTGCAGTTATTGATCAGCATTGCAGACAGAGTCACAGTTTTATACGTTGTGAAGTTCTATTTTTGTTAACACATTTTCATGTAATAGGTTTATATATTTTTAAATCAAATAAATAAGTGCATTACTTGTTTTTTCTTCGTTACAGTCATGTGATAGAAATGGTTTTGTTGTTGTAGGATTCAGATGTGCCATGTTGTGCCCTTTTCAGTCTCACACATCTGTACAGGGTGTCTTTCAATTTTTTCAGCTCAAAACATGGCAAAGAGGGTTCATGTTACCCTGATAACCGCTGGTTTTAGGGCTCCTTTAAACGAATGCTTGAGTTCTTAGCGGGGTGCATCATCGTGGCAGCATGCTGAACTGATTCATGTCTTTTTACACAGTATATGTAATCTTCTGGATCAGCTGCACCTGGACCTGAGGTAGGTGGATGGTAGTGCACCAGAACAGAGCAGCGTTTTTGGGATGAAATACAAACATGTATACAGTATTTACTGTGGTTCAGGATTGGGATTCAGGAGAAGCTGTTCTGCAGGATTTCAGAGACGATTGTGTTGAACGCTGAGCTGCAGTTCACAAACAGAACCCCTGAATGTGCCTCTGCCGAGTCCAGATGTTGCCTCATCCACTGACCTGTAGGCAAACTAGAGGAGGTCTAACAGGGTCTGTGACGTCCTCCAGGTGGGCCAGCACCAGTCTGTCAGAGGATTTCATAACCACAGACGTCAGACTGCCTGGCCTGTCGTCCTTTAATCCTGAGACAGACGTTTTCTTGGTGACTGGGATGATCATGTCAAAGATCTGTGTGAAAATGAGGAACAGGTGGTTAGTCAGGGCTGCACGGTGGATCAGTGGTTAGCACTGTGGCCTCACAGCTAGGAGGTTGGCGGTTGGCGTCCCGGTGAGGACACCCGGGATCTTCCTGCGTGGAGTCTCCATGTTCTCCCCGTGCAGCGTGGGTTCTCTCCGGGTTCTCCGGCTTCCTCCCACAGTCCAGAAACATGCTGAGGTTAATTGGTGATTGTAAATTGTCCGTAGGTGTGAATGTGAGTGTGCTTGGTTGTCTGTCTCTAAGTGTAGCCCTGTGATAGACTGGTTACCTGTCCAGGTGAACCTGCCTTCACCCTGAGTCAGCTGGGATAGACTCCGCCCCCCATGACCCTGGTGAGGATTAAGGTGTAGAGATGATGGATGGATGGTTCGTCAGAAGATTGTCTGGGTGCAGTCTGTTGCTGGGTGTGGTCTGAGGGAGGTATCAGTGTAAAGGTGGACGTTTCCAACTAAGTCTCTAAAAAATTCTCTCTTTCAGTTTTCTGGCATTTAGCAAATGGAAATACAGAATAGAAAGTAAAACAGAAAGACTTAAAAGAGGAAAAGTTGAGCCTGATTTACTGTCAGATGGTGAGAGAAGACCAGGGTGGGGTTTCTCTTTATAACATGTACTTCCGGTGTCTTTCAGAGTTTATCCTTGGATGCCCTTTTTCAGATTTGTTTACATGGGAAACCCTTTATTTGTGGTGAATCTGACTCTGGTTTAGTCCTGGATCTCCCACATGTCCTGTAGCGACCCCTGTCCCTCAGCCTGGGCATCGGGGGGCGGAGGGGGAGGTGTTGAGCGGATGTTTTGGATCAGAGCTCGGTCGGGACGGACTCCCACAACAAGGCCTGACTTCTTCTTCTTCTTCTTCTTCTTTTTTGTTTTTTGTTTCTGTTTTTCTGTTTAAAGTTCCTGGCCTCATGTGGACCCAGGTCTGTGCTGGTTTTCTGTGGATCCGGGGTGGCAGCGTGTGAGCAGGCTGGGAATGAAGCGGCGGAAGCGGGGAGGCGGATGTGAAGCGGTCCAGCCAAATAAATAAGATATGAAGGCGTTGAGCCATCCTGGCACCAGCACGGAGCGCTCCGCGACGCACTGGCCTCAAACATGGGCAGCACGATTTAAACACGGCACTCATTAAAACACACCAACATCCTCCCGTCACGTCGGGCCGCTGAGAGGCGGCGAGGCTGTGGCCGGCCTCAGGAGCCGCGGGTCCCGCTTGGACGCCGATGTGGGGTCGGTGGATGGTGGGCCGTGTGGAGGTCCGGCGTCCATGACTGAGCGACTTGTTCGGGATTTGATTATCATGCAGAGGGTGTTCCTAACGACCATTTATAAAGGTAAGAGACAGATCCAGTTCTCCGGGTAAATAACAGACATATGAGGCTTATTTCTGCTTTTCTGTGGACCTGGATGTCCAATCTGTCACCAGTGGGCAGTGGACGGACGTCTCCTGTACGCGCAGATGTATTCATCATCATCATCATCATCATTATAATTGTAATAATTATTATAATATGTGATGTGTATTTTCATCGTCCTCTCATCCGGCTGCCTGCCACCGGCTGGGCTGGGCTGGTGAGATGGTGAAGTCATCCTCTGACAGTGAATAAAGGCCTGACAGGAACAACAACAAACACACTAGATGTGAATAAGGTGCTTTAGACAAAGGGAGGGCAGCTTAACGGGGACTTGAACCTGCTCTCACTGCCAGAGGAGGTGAGTCACACCGACAGCAGGACAGCAGGACCTCTTCCCCTCCTGGTTCCTGCTGATGGCTTCACTGGAACCTGATCCTGATTGAAATCTGTAATGTGTCAGCTGATGATGAACAGCTGGTTGGCAGATCATCTGTGTGCTCCACTGGGTTTGGTTGAGATCTGAGCATGTGGGTTTCTTTAGCTTGTGTAGTATTATCACTAAAACCAGCTGGAAGCAGGACAGGACCTGAACCGGGTTCTGTATGAAGCCTGGTTCTGACCACTGAGCCTGCTGACCTGATGCCACGCTGACTTTCAGTGAATTTAGCTTTTTGTTGAATCAAACCCCTCAGAGCTACAGTCAAAATGTCTTTTCTTATTTCTCAGTCAGACAGTGGTCCCAGATATTGTAAAGTTGAATATTGTAAGCACAGCACTATATGTATATATATATATATATATATATATATAATTTCCCATTGGTGTTACATGACCTTGTGGATTCATTGCTGCATCATTTTACTACAGATAATAATAAATCCTTAAATGAGTGCTTCCACAAAACTGGGGTCCACAGACAGCCAGAGTTTTTAGAAATGATAACAGGTGAAGCTGCAGAGACTAAAATATTCTGACGTTCAGGTTCAAGTTTGTGTTAAACTCCCAAACTATTTATTTATAGCTCTGTATGTCATAATGCAGCTCAATAGCTCAGCTGCTGTGGGTGGATCACATGTTAAATGTAATGTGCTGACTTACGATAAGAGATTCAAAATCTCAAACCACAATGATTTAGTGTTGGACTAAACTGAGAAAAGTAGTTTGATATTTAGTTCAATGCTCATGATGATTTCTTTTAGGAGAGCAGTGAGTGAGCATAGCTAGAAGGCTGGAGCGGTGACAAAGAGCTGCACCGCTCCGTCCAAACATGACTAAAGTCCCTCTTTAGCACGACTAAAGTAATTATTGTAATGTCATTTCTGGTCCAAGTGTAAAAACAGTGAATTGTGGTTTTGGACAGTTTGTGAATGTGATTTTTTTCTTGGCTTGAAGCAGTTTGCTCTTTAAGTCTTTCCCGAGACGACCAGATGTTGACTCTGGGGTCATGTTTAGTGTCCAGACCTGAGTCTCCACTTCTGATTTCCTGCAAGAACACAAGAATATATATTTGCCAGAAAGTCAAACCTCTGGACTACAGAATATTTGCGTCTGATGAGACGGTTATTTGGTCAGATCAGGGGATTATAGAGTCACAGATTCACATGACAGACTTCACATTGATCCCTTATCGTTTGTTGTCTTTCATGAATTACATGATTTCATCAGCAAGGACTTGTTAGGGATCAACTTTGGAAAATAGAAATAAAACCAGAGACGATCTTGTAATGGATCACACCAGCATGACACCGATCAGTCCATCAGTGTTCCAAACCACGAGCACTTGGACCACCAGACCACACCCATCTTCAGACTCGGCCTTCAGTGATCTGAAGTGCACAACTGAGTTGACAGCAGGTGAATCGGACTGCTTGTGGATGGCATCAGGAGGACAGTATGGGTTGTCTGTCCTTTAACTTACCGTCTGTTTTGAGTGCCTCATGTTACTATTAATCAGTGTCAGACATGTTTGTAGGCTGTCAAATTGAGAGCAAGTAAATAACAACTGTGATGCACTGCACAGATAAAACAAACCACTGGTTGTAAGGCCTGATGCCTACTTTCAGTTCTGATGTCCTCCAGCTTGTGGTCTGGGCTGCTGGGCTGATAATGTGGCTGAACCTTGTGTAGACAGTGAATGTCTGGTGGAGGTTTGTCAGGTCAGCCTGGGATCAGCCTCTTTGGTCTGCACAAGCTTAGAAGCACAAGAATGCAGTGAAACCTCGACACTGGCACAGAGGAATGCTATGGGTGTGCTGGGGACAGGAAGATGTTGCCTCTGCTGGGCCGGCTTCATTGTTCTCCAATCACGGTCCAGCTATTTTAGGACTGTGCGTATGTGGACCAGGCTCATGATCATACATGGAGTCCACCTTGGTGGACAACAAAGTTTTATTCTATTCTATTCTGTCTGTTTTTGCAAAAGCCTACATCAGAGTGATATCTGTACGTGTAGCTGTCGGTCTCTCTGGCTCTGGCTCTCCCTGCAGGCAGAAAGCTGGACCACCACCTCACCACACTGTTGTTTGGCTGAAATAGGCCAAAGTTTATGTCCTCTCTTCAGGGATTAGGTCACTCGTCTCCTCTGTGGCTGCACTTTGTGATTTAATGAGCTGATGTTGGCTGCCCCTTTTTTCTTTACAGTTAAATCTTTCCTCTTTTAAGCTCCAGTGCTTGTATAATTCAGTCGTGGAGCATTTTCTGTGCAGATGCTACCCAATGTAGAAGAATGTCAGCAGTTGTTTTAATTTCAGTGTGGAGTTAGAAGTCAGAGGGACGGACTGGTCCTCCTGTTGAGTCTACAAGCATTTAATTTTTATATGAAACACCTGTGAATATACTCAAGTCTCTGCCATCATTCTTTTGTTTTAGGATTAAAGTCATATGAAATCTAATCCAGCTTTAGGGTGTTACCAGCAGCAGACAGTGTGTGCAGCACCACCACCAGCCAGACTGTATTCATGTCAGGGCCTGGGTCTGTTTTCACCAGGTTCTGTGTATTTTTAGTCACAAAATCGTACCGTTTATAAATAGCATGCTGCTGAAGGAAAGACTGCACTTCCTGTGTCTCACACAGTGCAGACACTCTGGGTACAGGACCACTAACACACAACCAGGAGCTCGTGAACAGCTACGAACAGCGTCGAGCTGAGGTAGAAATGGCCACGAGATGTTTACCCAGGGGTAAGCTTTGCTGTGTGTGTGTTTTTAACCCAGCAAATTTTGTCATATTTCCAAAAGACCTTTAATAAATCTGTGATAAAAGAAAAATGAGTTGTTATTTGTGACTAAAACGCGTGTTTCAGTCATTCATCACAGAAAATAATAGAGTTCTAGGAGTCTTTGTAAACTGGAGGCTGCCAGGATATCCACGGTCTTTACCTGTATGTAAACTTTAGTTCACAGCCGTCTGTGGTGTGTGTCTTCCTTCAGCTCCTCCACCACAGGCTGGCAGCTTCATGTTTTTGTGTCTTGACCATTCCTAGAATTTTACCACTGATGTTGATGAAGCGGCTTCTTCCCATTACAAACTCATTTTATTACTCAGACCTACTTTCAGCACCGTCTGCAGCGCATGCAGCAGAGCACACATCACACCTGAGCAGACAGCGTTGCAATGTCAAGCAGAGACTTCAGCTTGATACGTATTTATGTTTTGTTAGTTTATAAAATTCCTACTAAATCTAACTATAACTAGACTGTGAATAGCAGCAGTACTCTTTTAAACAACCAGTTAACTCGTAGGCTCGTCCAGATTCTCAGAATCTTTAAATGGTCAGACGACGTAAACTTCTGTGTTGTGTGGAGCTTAAAAAGTCATTAATGGTACTAATTTTTAAATCGTTGTTTTGCACACAGGTTACTGTGTGGACAAGCCGTCCTCCAGGAATACTGTTTACATAAATGATCTTGTTCTTGCAAGACAAGATCTTGTTGGCAGAGCTTCTGATTTTGTTCCCATACTGTTTGGTTTCTCTGTCTTTCGAGCAGGTGAACATTTTGTTTGCACAACGTTTGACTGCTTTTTCCCAACTTATTGTCTTGCTACCACAAGATGAGCTGTTGTCTTATGGGATCATCTTTGCTCTGCAGAAATGAGCCTGAACATGAAAAGCATTTTATTTCTACTTGGACGGTTGTGTTGTTTTAAATCATATTGCACAACATACAAACATGACTACAACGTATGAAGCATCAAACCTCTCATGTCTTTACCCTTTACTCACCGTACTCTCTCACTTTCTCTTTCCTAGGTCTCCTGTTTCCAGTCATCCTCTCCTGCCCTGTGGATCGGAGGACTGCCCTGCCCCTGGACAGACCAGCGGAGGGATCTGGATCGCTCCTCATGCTGTCTTCTTCGTCTGTGACTGCTCAGCTCTAGTGCCCTCGAGCAAGACACTGCTCTGCTGTTGACATGTTTGTCAGAATGGAAAGATGCAACACAACGTTTAGGGGGATATATCTGCAGCACTGACGATGGAAGCACGATATAAATGACTGATAAAAGAGGTAGAGAGAAGGTTGGTCCTCTCCTTCAACACTTCATCTCTGTTGGGATTATAACTAGTGGAACCTGAGGATTGTGAAGTGCCTTGCCCAAAGGAATGACACCAGGGCCAAAGAAATGTTTCTCAAGGAAATCATGATCTGGACTGCAGGTGTTTTAAAACAGAGGTCTGTTGCTGAAAACATTCTCTCTGCACCTCCAGACCTCCATCCTGCTCTCTAGTTTCCTCATCTCACCCTCTTGTTCTGGCACTGCTAAGCTAGAATCAGACTGCCTGATTTGCCCCAGCCTCTTTACCTCACCCCTCCTTGTTTTCTTTCTTCTGCCCCCTCCCCTGGCCTCCACCATTCGCCCCTCCCTTGCAACCGCCGTCCTCCCCCCTCGCCCCCGTCCCCAGTCATCCCCCTCCACGTCTTCTGCCCCCTCCTCCCCTCACCACCACCACCACTACCACCACCACTACCACCACCATCCTCACCCTCAGTCCCACCACCATCAGCACCTGCACCACCAGCTCTCCTCTTCTCCCCCTCGTGTCTCAGCCCCGTCCTTCTCTACCTCTGCTGTTACGATGGCAACTGCCGCCACTGCTTCCTCCTCATCCCCGTCAACCTCATCATCGCCCAATGGCAGTGCCCGGGAGCACCTGCTGGCAGTGCGTCGGCGCACCCCGCACGCCCGGCCGTACACAGTCGGACCCGACAACCTCCGCAGCCTGTCGATGCAGGGAGCAGTCGGCGGCTCTGCGTCGTCCTCCTCCTCCTCTACGATGTCATCAGCAAACCAGCCTGAAGCAGCGGGGATGGGACTCCAGAGGGCCAATAGTGACACAGACCTGGTGACCTCAGAAAGCCGCTCATCGCTCACGGCGTCTACGTACCAGCTGACACTAGGTCACGGCCACCTGGTGATCTTTTGGGACATTAAGGAGGAAGTGGATGCCACTGACTGGATCGGCCTGTACCACATTGGTGAGAACCTGAAACTCACTTGCTGAAAGGTGGAAACAGTTGGTTATCTAAAGCTGTTTATTAGATTGTAGGACTGCAACTGATCTTTTTTGGTCACAGGAAGTTTACAGGCATTGCAGTTCAAAAACGTGCAGTTAGCCTCAATGAGCACAAATGCTGCTCAGCTTTACCAGCATGCTTTGCTGCGGCCCACCAGGTGACCTCGCTGCACCTGTCAAGCTTTTCACTTCAGCATGACAGATATGCAGTTTGCATGTAAGCATGATAAAAACGTCTGATTTATCGCTTGAAGTTCTGGAGATTCCATAAAACAGGTCAAACAAAAGCAGCTCTGTCACTCACCAACCGTCGTTTGGTGCCGACTTGGTCCAAAAACACTTTCTCTAGAGGAACTGTTTAATATTCAAACCAAGCCAAAGGGTCTCAATGTGCATTGATAGCATCATGCTAAAGGAAAGACAGTCAGCCTCCTCACCAGCTGATGATCCATGCAGAAAAAGTCGAAATGTAGGAGTAGCACAGTTCTTACTTGGCAGAGTAAGGGTTAAAATTAGCACCTGCTTGGTACAGAAACAGACCTGGATCAGCAGCACATAGGTGAGATTTATGCTCTATTGTTTTCCTTTTTAAATACTGTGTTCCTCTTACTGAGTAGAAAGGGCTTTTAGGATGGCTGATGAACAAACACAATGTGAAGATGAAGAGTTTTACTTTGTTTGGCCAAATCTAATGAAGACCAGGACAAAGCTGCTGATGTTACCCGTTAACTGATGACAAGCTCATGAGACTCTGATGTAACGCCAGGTTACTGCAGGAGGTGATAAACTAGTGGCATGCTGTCATTTGCAGCTTGTACAGGAGTCTTAATGAAGGAACATTAATAGAAAAGTATTCTTTGTGTAAATATCAGATGTTGACACTTCAAGCCAGTGACTTTATAAATCCCATCTCTCAAGGGCTTCAGTGTCAAGATTATATTTGTATTACACACTTGGTCTTTGTCACACAAACACACTATTTGAAGTGCCTACGCCTCATCACAGAATGATATATCAGCAAATCACAGACCTGTCTCTCACAAAACAACCCCCCAAAAATCTAGCATTTAGATAGAAAACAAATAAATAAGCTCTTGTTTCTATACAGCAGAGGTCGTTTTTGAATAGACCTCAAAGTGTCTTGTGGTAAACGTGTATTCTGAGTACGGCTGCACTGAATAGACATGTTGTGATATTTAGTTTGTGAACAGTGTGTGTCTAACGACCAGCTGCAGGATGCAGACTGGAGCCGAAGCACCACAGTCTGTCCCACTTGTTTCTGGCAGCAGTCTTCACCATGTTCACCACCTCGTCTGTTGTTATATAGACTTGACGTCTCTCATCAAGGCCACAAGCAGCCGAGGCTTCCTTTCATACCGGCTGCAATGTCAGAGCCTCAGACTTGTGGCTCTAAGATGGAGATTTGATTTTTAAAAAATAGGTGCATGATGCTGCTGCATAGCACTTGTCAAGTGACGAGATCATGTCTTCAAACCCACTGGGTCAACTTGCAAAATGCTTTTTCCTGTATGAAAATTTAGTAGTTTCTGTTTGGAACTTTTCTCATTTAGCTTGCTGGTGTTAGCGAAGGCATCTGAAATCGTTTTTTTCTTTGCATGGCATTCACCCTCAGAGTTTGTGGATTTAAGCGGTCAAACAAATTCATAATCTTTGTGTCGAGTTAACAAATGCAAGACAAGCTGCCCTTGTCACAAGAGAACGCTGTTTACTAAAAGGGAAGCTGGGCCTCCCGAGCAACGTTGTGTTCTTTGGATCCTTTGAGTTAAAGACTTCAGCATTCAGCAGAAAGGCTCTGATGAACAGTGTTGTTGAGCTGCTTTCAGGGATGTGTTGGATAGAGGAAGTCTGGGCTCTGTACAGCCAACACTGCCATGTAGGGAACCTCATGCAGGTTTACTTTGTGTTATGATGCAAATACAGGCTCGTCAAAAAACCCTCAGGTCTCCATTTGAATCCACATATATTGTGTTCAAAGGGGAAAAACACATAATGTAAGACTTTTTCCATATTCTGTTTTTGTATAATAAATCTCATAAAGAAAGATGGAAATAAAGGGTATTCTTTTATCTTCACTGCAGAAAAGAAAGACAAGAACCTCTAGTTTGAACCCTTATTCGTTTTCTTTAAAAAGAAAAATGTCACGAAAAAGCTTTATAAGTTTAAAAAACTGTTTATTTTCCACTGAGCATTCCCTCATGTAGATAGAGAACAGGTGACTGTATTTGATTACTACATCACTACACGACAGAGCAGCATCGACAGCCAGTGAGATACAAGCTGCAGGAGCTGAGGTCATCTCAAACCACAGGTGAATGACTTAGTGAGAGGAACAGTGATTACCTGTCTGTGAGCAATACTTTATCGAACACAACGAGAGAGAGAAAGCTGGTGAATCACGACACCGGTCCATTCTGTGCTGCTCTTCACTGGCGTTGACCCAAGTGTGGGGAGAGGATTTCTAGGATTTCTAGGATTTTTCTCCCCAGAGGTGTAGACTGTTGGCTGCTGGCCACGCTTCCCCAAGAGAGCTCAACGGGGGCAGCATCGGCATTGAACTGTTAGGATATGGCCCATTTGTCCTTCAATACAGCACAGCCGTTGGTGTGAGTCACTACCTGTAAGTAATGACAGCAGTGACATAGATGAACAGGCGCCAGTGTATTTGCTGAGCTGCTCTCTTATGTTGTTTTAACTCTGAGTTAAAGCTGCTAAAGTTGTGCTTTGTCCCAAGTGGCAGCACTTTGTATTGATTTCTTTATTGGTAAAAGAACTCTTTATACCTTTTAAAGTGAAATAACAGATTGCAACGCTGTTGTAAAGAGAAATCTTTACATCCCGTCAAGTGCAACAACATAATTACAATTATTACAATTATAATTAATTATCGAGCTGCTGCAACATGTGTGTGTTTCCACACGTTATGTTCATACAGTGTTTCCTCTGCATTCATTTAGGAGTGGCAGGCTGCCATTCCTAAATCAGGCGCTCCTTCAAATTTTATTTTATTGTCTTAAACACACCACCTCCACATGTCTCCACCTTCACAGCAGAGTCCTGCACTGGGTCGGTACTCGGAGTACTGAGGTAAACTACAGATAACTATCTTGCTCAGTATCTACTCTTTGGGGGGTAATGTAACGTCAATTACTCGCGACTACTGAGGTAAACTACAGGTAAGTATCTTACTTCCAGATAACTATCTTGCTCAGTATCTACTCTTTGGGGGGTAATGTAACGTCAATTACTCGCGACTACTGAGGTAAACTACAGGTAAGTATCTTACTTCGTGTCTCAATACTCAAGTACGTAAGTCCGTAGAGCGAGTCCAGGAGAACCCGTCCTCATTAATGACCAATTAGGACAGCAGCGGACTCGATGACGTCACCACCTGGCTCGTCTACTCTGATGATCTTTACCGTGAAAAACAAGGAAATCAAATGAAATACTAGAACACAGCTCTGCTGAATTACATTTACATATATTATATATATAACATGTATACATGTTGAGGTTTCTAAGGTCGTTCTACGATCTTTATTGAAGCCGTTCATTTGTTGACCGTCTGATCAACAGGTCACGTGTTGGAGGAAAATGTGACGTCATATCCGACCATCCATCTCTGGAATACAACTGAACATGTTTAATTACAAAAATACTGAAATAGACAAGAAGTATATATAATACATATAACAGTTAATAAACCGTGTAATTTTTATAAGATTTTATTTTATAACAGGACAAAAGTCTCGTACAGAACATGTATAGATGGAGAACGTTGTTCCTCTGCTCCTCCTGATGCTCTTCAGTGGAGCTGGACACAGATGCTCCGTCAGAAGGTCCAGGATGGAGCTGCTCATGTTGTGGGGAGTCTCCCAGCAGTCAGGAGGACGTTCATCCAGCTGCCTCCACTAAAACACTGCTCACATGTTAATGCACAGTCACAGTCATAGGAACAGAACCAGGCTGAACTACAGCTGATGGAAGCAGGAGAATCATTCAGACGCACTGAGGCAGCGATCAGTACAACACTAAATAAAATAGAAACTTCTGTTAAATCGATGGTGATCAATAAACAAACTCCACTGTGAGGACAAAGTGTGACTCTAAACTACGTATATCCCTGTTTCAGCGCTACGGAGCCGTCAGCGGCAGACTTCAGAGAGTCTGGCCGACATCAGGCGGCTCTCGGCGGCTACTGGGAGCGCTGGCCGCCGTCACAGCGGTCAAACTGGGACGCTCACATCTCTGAAACCGTCGGAGCTAAATGTTAAACAGGCTTTATCCTGATGAAATGACCACATATTTGGTGTTTAAACCAAAACTTTCTCGCCTCAAATAATCATAAAACTACAGTTTGTGTCACAATAACAACAGTATTTACAGAAAGCCTGTGTTACTGTTGAAAGTTTTCTCCTCGGCTTTTGCCGCTGGGCGGCGCGAAATGCATTCTGGGATACTTGGCTATCTGAAGTCCACACAGTCCGGTCTGATGCAGACTCCACAATGTGGGCGGAGCGAGGACACATCCGGGCATTTCATCAGTACTTGGTCAGATGCCTCCTTAGAATTGAGACAGCACTTGGTCTCAGACTGATGACGTATCACAAGTCAGCAAGAACGCAAGTACGGACAAGTACGCACTTTGAGACACGGCTACGGCCTTGGTCTGTACTCTTTGGGGGTAAATATGACGTCAATTACTCGCGACTACTACGGTAAACTACAGATAACTATCTTGCTCAGTCTCTACTCTTTGGACGGTTAATGCGACGTTAATTACTCGTTAAGAGCGCGACCTTGAACTTGACGTCCCGTCCAGCACCAGGCTCCAGGTCAGTCAGAGGAGGGTCGTCCTGGAGAACAGGGCAGCGACTCACCGGAGGAAAGGTAGACTTATTAGCTTAAGGTAACTCAGAATAGGTTTTACAAGTTAAATAGACATTAGCTAAACATTGATGGCCAGCTAACGTTACATAACACATCGGTATGTTAAGTTAATTGGGCCCGGGGCCAACTCAGTGTGGCTAACGTGAGTAAAGTGACTGATAGCATGAAGCTAGCATGTAGACGCCATGATGGACCTGCTGACTGCATCTTCAGATGAACCTGTTCACATATTTCTCTGAGAAGAGAAAGACACCTGATGGAGGTGACGCTAGCCGGGTAGCATTAGCCTTTTACTGACTCATAAATGATGATGTTCAGGTAGAAATAGTGTTGACACTGTGATCAGATGTGATGTGAGTGTAAATGATGTAACGTTAATGTTGAACGTATCAGACCAGTAACATCAGACAGGGAGGAGCCGTGGACAGCAGCAGACATTTAATAAAACATCATCAGACACCAACTAGAAACCATTTAGAATGATTAGGGTGGAGGAAGCTGAGAGACACCATCTGATGATGGTTTCTATTTGTAGGTGAAGACTGAGCAGAGAAGCAGGCTGCAGGGGATCAGCTGCAGCCTGGATGCTGCTGAGCCTCTCACACAATTTCCCTCCAACAGAGCCTCAGAGCTCTTCTATAGAAAACCCAGAAACATTCATGGTTCTGAGCCTGGGTGCAAACTTTGCCACTGATTCTACAGCCCCATCAAGACATTACTATTTATGGTTTTTATTTTTATTTATTTAACTAGATTTTATTTTTAATTTACATTCAGGCTTTAAAAAGCCATTTTCAGCTGGACATTCAATAAATAGGTTGTAGAAGTCAAACCTACAGTCAGATGTCATGTGTTCATGCTGCCTGCTGCTGGAAACATGGTGGAGGAAACACTGAATATGTTCCATGTTGAGGTGTGTGTACTTACTGTTTGTCATGTAATGAGTCCTGCAGTGCCTGTGTGCTGTGTGACCTCGTTACCGTCCTGTTCTTAATTATCTTTTACAAAGTCGACCTCATGTGTCGTTGACTATTAGCAGCTCACTGCTGAAACCTGATTTGAAAAAAGGATATGTGTGGAGCCAAAAGGCGTCTGACCGGATGTAAATGTGTTTGTGTTGCAGATGAGACGTGTGTGGCCAATGTGTGGGACTCCAAGAACCGCGGAATAAATGGCACCCAGAAAGGACAGATCGTGTGGAGGCTGGAGCCGGGGCCCTACTTCATGGAGCGTGAGTCTAGTCTGAGTGCAGCTCTCTCACTTCTGACATGTGGATCCTGCTGATGCCAGAGTTTAGCTGAAGCAGCACCTAAACCTCAGTCCTGTTAGCATTTAGTCAAAGCCCAGAATCGATTCATTATTGGTGAGTTTTATTAATCTGGTGTCATTCTGGAGCCTAAATTCCCCACTAGTTCCCATTCAGCGGTTCAACCAGTATGACCAGTTTGTTCCATTCCTCTGATGCCATCTATGAGGTGGTGGTCATGAGGAGAGGCGACCACTCTGTCTGATGCGTGTTCTGTGTGACGTGTGCTGATGAAGGACGTGTTGTGTGTGTTCTCTGTCCACAGCTGAGACGAAGGTCTGCTTCAAATACTATCATGGTGTCAGTGGAGCGCTACGAGCCACCACGCCGTGCATCACCGTCAAGAACCCGGGAGTGTCGGTACGTCTGCCTCATTTCACTGCAGTTATTCCTCATGGTCTCTGTCTTCTCATTCATACAGTCGCTGTCTTTATTCCGTTTGTTTTCTAGTTGTCGGTCTGTTTGTCCTTCTTGTGAACGCAGTATCTCTTGAACGTCTGGCACGACGTTCTTCCAGTTAGGTTCAAATGTTCACTGGACTGGTCGAGGATCACTGACACAGCTTAGCACCTCATGATGACAACATTTCATATACATGTCTAATAGGATGAAGCGACACCGGCAGTGTTGCCACAATAGCAAACTCTGTATGGACGTAAACACAGAAACGGTAGCGCTCCAAAAACATGACACGTCAGGAAAGGATGGATGGAGGGACGTTCAGTCTGAGTGCAAGTGAAGGATGTGAGAGGATCCATAAAACAAGCAGACTGTCCCATCCTGTGCTTATACGGCTTCATATCCAACCAAAGATGGAGGACGTGTTCAGGAAGGTGACGTTTGCACATCGCTGCCTTCACATGTCACTGTGCTGCTTATTAAAGGCTGAACTCTACCAGAGAAGTGCATCAGTACGTCAGTGCACGTTTACTGACCCACTTTCAGTCCCGCTACAGGAGTTCATTTAATTATTTATTGGCTGTTAATGTGCATGAACACAAGCCGGTGTTATGGCGGTCTTTGTGTAGAGATGTTGGTGAGCTAGCTACGATGAGGAATTAAAGAGTCATCATGGTTTAACTGCCTCATCAAACTTAGATCACGACAGTTCGTTTGTCACATGATCATCTCCTGATACTGGAGGGCAGAGGCGTCGTGTTGTCTGTCACATTGGTTCACCTGGTCCTGTCTGAATCCTTCAACAAGCCAAAGGCCACGTTGGACGTGTTGGATGAAGGACCTCCTGCTCGTCACCACATGGCTGATTGATCCATGTGCTGCATGTGAAAAGCATCATACATCTGGGAAGTCAAAGTGATGTTAGGTTTAGTGAGCAGGGAGGAGCAGTCAGCTTCAGGTAGCTCCTCCTGTCACTGACGTCTCCTTTAGACCTTCAGTCTGACGTGTTTTACCTTTGGAGGTGAAGTCGGTTCACTCTAAGCCTGCCGGTTGCTTTCTCATCAGGTGAGCAGTGAAGGCCAAGCGGAGGATCAAGCAGGAAGTGAGCACTGTCGGAAGCTGGTCAGCTTCACCCTATCAGGTGAGAGAAGCGACTGACTGGGATGGTTGTGGAGTGTTAGTGCAATAAATGCTCATCATGCTGTTTCTGTTTCAGTCATCCGTGCCATGGGCCTCAAGAAGGGCATGTTCTTCAACCCGGACCCCTATCTGAAGATGTCTATCCAGCCTGGGAAGAGGAGTGGCCTCCCCAAGTTCACCCATCACGGCCAAGAGAGACGGTCCTCCATCATCGCCAACACCACCAACCCCGTGTGGCATGGGGAGGTCGGCACAAACACACACCTACACACATTCATGCCCACAGTACCAAATAGAGGTGGTGTTAATGCCCAGGCAGAGGCAGTCGAGGGACAGGGTGGTTCAACAAGGTGACAGCTGTTCCTCAGTCTGGGGGTCTTAGTCCGGAGGCTCCGATCCACCTTCCAGAGGCCAGGAGGTGGAACAGTCTATGGTTGGGGGGAGAGGAGTCTTTGAGCAGAGCTCCATCCCATAGACGCCCTGAGCAGAGTCCCTGTGGTGCACCGGGCGGTTTCCACCACCTGTTGCAGAGCCCTGCGGTCAGAGCAGTTCCCTCAACACACCGTGATGCAGCTGGTGAGGATGCTCTCTCCCACAGCAGCACAAGTTCACCAGGATTGCTGTGGACAGGTGGTTCCTCCTTAGTGTCCTCAGGAAGTGGAGGTGCTGGTGAGTCTTCTTATCCAGGCTGGAGGCGTCCAGCACAGGTCCTCAGAGATGCGGATCCCCAGCTGGAGACACCATCAGCAGCCATCCTGTTGATGTGGACGCGGTCATGGTGCCTCCTTTCTATCGGCTGCTTTGTCTTGGTGGTTGAGGAGCAGGTTGTTGGGCACCACGTGGCCAGCTGCTGCACCTCCTCCCTGTAGGCTGGGCTACATGACATATGTCACTTCTAGATAAGTTTAGGTGATGACATGAAAGTGAATTCAATATGGTAACAGCACTTCTCTGACAGTCCCATGAACACCATCCCAGAAGGTTTTAAGAACAGAGCAGCGGGTCGGGGAACCCCGGTGTGGACACAGATCTGGCAGACAGGCAGGTGAAAGGTTCAAAAGAGTTTATGAAATGATAGACGAAGCAGAAGCCAATATAGAGGGAGGAAGCTCAGCAGAACGGGCTAAACCAGAGTGAAGTAAAAAAAAAAAAAAAACTGGGTAAAACTCTGAACTCCGATGCATCAGTGGGTCCACGAGTGCTGGTGCCCCCCCAAGCCACCTGTGGATCCCTCCAACACGTGGTTTCTCTGTAGAACAGCATTTCAGACCTTTTAAAACACATATTGTATTCAAAAAAAGAGCTGAAATGGTCCAAGGTTTCAGCCTGTACATCTGCTGTTTGTCCTTCAGAAGTACACCTTTGTGGCTCTGATGACTGATGTGCTGGAGATCGAAGTGAAGGATAAATTTGCCAAAAGCCGACCAATCATCAAGCGCTTTCTGGGTCAGCTGATCATACCTGTGCAGAGACTTCTGGAAGGGCCAACAGCTGAGTGAGTACACACACTGACCCAAACTTGCTCACTTCCATCAATGACAGCAGAACAGTCCAAGGAGAGCATTTCATTGTGTTAGCAGGCGTTCAGACGCAGAGAGAGGATGCACCAACATCTGACCTTCAGCACTTACCCACAGTGACTCAACACCGTTCAGTCAATATGCCCCAGTCAGCTCATCGTTCAGCCATTGATCTGCTATTGATCCACTACTGAGCACAACATGTGCTCCAGTGAGCCCACATGTGTCGTGTGTGCAAAGGGCTTCACCAGCTCTGCAGTTTTTAGTGGCTGCTGCTGACAGGTTGAATTCACAAGAGACTGCACACGGCTGTAGCACACTGTAGTTACAGCTTACGGTCACTTCTCTGTATCGATAGGTGTCGGTGTGTTTACATACACATGTTCAACTAAACATGAAGCTGGCATTTGGTACGTGTGCATCTTCTTCGTACAGTATTTCAGAGCCAACAGATGTAAATTACAGTATAATCCTGCACCGGCCATGCATTTCACGTGGCTCTCTAATCCCTTCATGCTATCCGTCTGTTGCTGTTTCCAACATCCCCCCACGACAGGAAGCAGCAGCCTCCAGCCAGCAGGCCTCAAACTTCTGCTTTTACTCAATGTGTGAATTGTGCATTTTAGCAACTCTGTGATTTGTTGTTTTGGAATTAGCATCTTACTGTGTGTGTGTGTGTGTGTGTGTCTGTGTGTGTGTGTGTCTGTGTGTCTGTGTGTGTGTCTGTGTGTCTGTGTGTGTGTGTGTGTGTGTGTGTCTGTGTGTGTGTGTGTCTGTGTGTGTGTCTGTGTCTGTGTGTCTGTGTGTGCGTGTGTGTGTGTTGCAGTGATCAGCCAGTCAGCTACAGCCTGTGTCGCCGCCTCCCTACAGACCATGTGAGCGGACAGCTTCTCTTCAGAGTGGACATCACTTCCACTGGACAGGAGGGTGTGTGCTTTAATCCTTTGTTTTTAATCGATGACAGATGTTGTCAAGACTTTGTGGTGAACACTGTGGTTATAATCTTTGCACAATCTGGTCTTGAACCTTTCTTCTAACCCTCAGAAACTAGGCAAACACAAGGTGTTGATGAGATGTTTTATATGTCTTTACATTGTGCTAACATGACATGGATACGCATGTCTCAGTCACCTCATCCTAAATGCTCTTCTGTCCCTCTGCTCTCCCCCCTTGTGCATCTCATCTTTCCCTCAGAAGCCTCCCCAGACACAGTGGGAGCCATCCTGGGCAGTGCGGCTAATGGCGACCCCGGCAGTCCTTCTGATGATGAAGACCTCCCTCACCCTTCCTTATCTTCACGTGTCACCTGTGGACCTTCTCCCACAGGCTCCAGTGAGGGCCCCTTGTTAGTTAATGGTTCATGTTACTATGGCAGTGATAGCGTGTGGCAGGAGAGGCAGATGGGAGAAGAGGATCTCCTTCCTGTGTCTTTGACTGGCCACACCCACCGGCAGGTGTCACTCAATGACTACCTGGATGCCATTGAATCTCCCAGGAGCCCCGGGGAGCGACCTCTGACAGGGCCTTCACCGAAGCTTCGCTCCAGCTTTCCAACAGACACGCGGCTCAACGCCATGCTGCACATAGATTCAGATGAGGATGAGGAGACAGCAGGGCAGCACAGGGACCAGTCACAGGAGATGAAGGCACAGCAGAACACAAACTCATCAAAAAGATCTCCTGAGTCTCGACATGTGAACAAGGGGTCAAAAGGCGAGCCATGGGGGAACTCTGGTGCTGGAGCTGGAGGTGGAACTGGGGCCACAGCAGAAGCAGGTTCTTCTACTGGTGCTGAAGCTGCAGCAGAAGCTGCAGAAGGTACAAGTGAGACCAGAGAGGCGGCACAGATCACTGGAGAAACGTCCACAGCTTCCAGTTCGTCTGAGGCATCAGGGACTGAGGCAAATACAGCAGTTGGAGCAGGAGAGTCTGCCGGGGAGTGCACCTGTCAAGAGCAGAGCTGTAGGAGGGGGGCAGCTCAGGAGGTGCCCTGTACTCCTTCACTGGGTCCTCTTTCACCCATCCAGGTAGGCAGCTGTAGTTTTAGTATCACACACCTGGTTGGTGTCACAGGTAAAACCTGCTCACTTCATCACACCCCTGCTGTGGCTTTCCTGTCTGCTGGAGGTGTGTGTAGATGCTGTTTGTTGATGTTTGCTTTTAGCTTTGCATTAAAAAAGGGTGACTGAAAATCTTGATGGAAAATTTTGTACGACTTTCAAATGTTAAGCAGACACTTAAAGCGCAGGTGTTGGATTGTGGTGATGAGCAGTTTCCACCAAACATCCCAGATTGTTATGGAGTCCCATACAGTCACAGGTCTACGGACACACTCGTCTCCTACTTCTGTTTTCTTCAGGTGCTGCTTTGTCCCGATCAGGTTACAGCTGACTAAATATATGTCATTATTTACTGTATGTTGTACAGCCAGGTTCTACTCATCTATAAATGTCTGAGCACACAGCAGCCAGATGACACACACCACGTCAGAGGCCGTTACTGGTTCCCTTCTCGTTTCCAGCCACTGGTCCCAGTCTTCTCCTTCCCAGTGACACCATGCATGTCATGACAGAGCCAATAAAGGCACTAATCTACATGTTTAAGTGTATTTCACACGCCCCTTCACAACAGTAGTGCCCCTGTGTGAAATGAGGAGCTAGAGGACACACCGGCAGCCAATCACCTGTAACAGCTGTGACGGAGCCAGAATGCAACCCAGCTGGATCCAGAACGGCCTGAAATGACCTCCTCTGTCTTTCCCTGTCCCCCTTATCAGGAGGTAGAAACCAGAAAAGAGGTGGCTCCCAAAGCAGAGGAAGAGGGAGCAGAGTCTTCAAGCAGTGAAGCAAATGGTCCGGTGGCAGCAGCAGCTCCACCCAGCAGCAGCACCGCTGACCAGGAAGAAGGAGGAGCAGCTGGTAGGTGGTGCCACCAAGTGCATGGAAACTGTCTCTGGTGGTTTCTCACTCAACAATGGGACATGCAAAATTTGAAAAGCACGTATAGGTTAATGTAATATGTATTTTTTTAGGCCTCCACCGTGGGAGAAGAGGAAAGGTAGAGCATCTGCATGTTTATAGAAAAATGTCTAAAATGTAGAATCTGAGAGAAGAAAGCATCAAATCTATGGTGCTGATTTACCAGACGGTGGGAGAGAGACCACGATTCAGAGAAACGCTGACAGAGGGAGAAGCAGAGTCGGCCTGTTAATCTGCCTTCATGACATGCAGATGAATCATTAACATGTTAATCTGGGAAACTTGCAGAATGTATTAGGTGTCATGGTGTCGCCTCATAACTCAAGTTCCTGGTTTAAAATGTAGTCTGCATGCTCTCCCTGCTTTCATGTGGTCCCACAGCTCAGACATTCTGAGGTTAATTGGTCCTTCTGATTGGCTGTAGGTTTGAGTGTGCTTGGTTGTCTGTCTCTGTGTTGCCCTGCTGTAGACGAGCAACCTGGACTAGACTGGGAATAGATTAATGGATCTCCAGCAGCTTGTTGTCAAGTTCTACACAAGTCTGTTAGTGAGTCAGGTGTGTTGCAGCACGGACACGTCTAAAACCTGCAGGACAGTAGCTCACGAGGACCAGAGTTGGAGATCCCTGGACTAGCTCAGCTTACCTCAACAGATGGGAAAAACTACGAAACCCATGTAACCAGAACACCAGACTGACTGGGCTGATGTTGTTCTGCTGCTTCTACCTGAACCCTCGTTACATTACAACACTTCATGTGAACTCGTTTATTTTAGGACCGAGCGCTGAAGGGGAGGACAGGCAGGAGGGGCAGGAGGGGCAGGAGGAGAAGGCCGGGGAGGTGTGGAGGAGGCGGTCCATGCAGGCCTCCGGAGGAACTGCCCAGAACCAGGAGGGGTCCAGAGAGGGTGAAGGCGGAGTGTCCGTGGGTGAGAGAGAGACAGGTGAGATGCTTCTCAGAGCAGAACTTTGAGTGCATTGCTTTGGTTGTGATGATTGTTGAAGATTCAGGACTAATGATCATTTAATTGTCATCTATCTGTATTCAACCAGTTCAGTTCAGTTCCTTTAAGCCCAGTAAACATTCCAGTCTCTGTAGTCAGATGCTGTGACCCACTGGATCAGATGCAGCACTGAGGTCCAGTAGAACCAGTACACAAACTGGTCCACTATCTGAAGCTAGAAGAAGATCATCAGTGACCTTCAGCAGTGTGTCTCTGTTCTATGATGCTTCTAAATCCTGACTGAAGCTTATCAGACAAATATTTCTATGCAGATCATCACATAACTGGCTGCAACAGCTTCTTCCAGACTTAACGGCAGTTGTTGCTGCCAAGGGCGGGCCAACCAGATATTAGGCTTAGGGGGGCAATTACTAGTTCACGGGGGTGATACAGGTTTACAACAAATCAGCATTTAAAAGCTGCATTGTGTGTTTTGTGGGTTCACTCTGATCTGGAACATGTAAGTGTGAGAAATGTGCAACAACCTGAAGACACCAGGAAGGAGACAGAACGTTTTCACAGCGCTCTTTGTAACGTTGTGCAAACACGTTTTGCAGTTGTGATGACAGAACATGTTGTGTTACTGTTCATGCAGGTGCCACAGCTCAGGTCAACGGCCACCAGTCTGTCCGCTCCCTGCCGTCTGTCCGTCATGACATCAGCCGCTACCAGAGAGTGGACGAGCCTCTGCCGCCCAGTGAGTGTGTGTGTGTGTGTGTGTCTCTGTGTGTGTGTGTGTATATGTGTGTGTGTGTGTGTGTGTGTGTGTCCATGTGTGTGTCCATGGAGTTTTAATGTGAGGAACCCAGCACAGCACCAAGCACACACACAGCCACCTGTTCTGCACCATCCTGAAGCTTGTTCTCAGCGTTAATCCTGATGTATGAACGGTTTCTGACCCCGAACTGCAGATATAAGCAGAATCAAGTAGATTTTAAAGTGTTTATTCATGCATTTGTCAACAGTTTTAACTTCTCGTATGAAGTTAACTTGTCCTGGTGCACAGGTCCAGAGGTGCTTGTGGTGATGTAGGTCTGCTGCAGGGTTAGCTTGCTGTGCGTCTCCATTTCTCTCTTCTGACTCAACAGATGTAAATTACCAGATAATCCTGGCCATGCGTTTCACATGGCGTCCCCTTTCTGCTGTCAGTGTAGGAAACAGCCCCGTCCAGACCTATATGCTGAAGCGTCAGGTTGTTCTGAGTGTGTGCATTGATCTGTACAGCAGCCCTGCTCCTCTTTGTCAGAGGAATCAGCCGTTTTATTTTAAATGAACACCGTGTGTGTTCTTACTGTTCAACCCAGACTGGGAGGCTCGCATCGACAGCCACGGTCGCATCTTTTATGTGGACCACGTGAACAGAACGACGACATGGCAGCGTCCCACCGCTCCCCCCGCCCCACAGACCCTCCAGAGGTCCAACTCCATCCAGCAGATGGAGCAGCTGAACCGCAGGTCTGAACACACACACACCTGAATCGTCCACTTCTCCCAGTACTTTGAAGGCCCCTGTGGTGATTAACAGACACATACACACTCCTGTCCAGATATCAGAGCATACGCAGAACGATAACCAATGACAGCAGACCAGAGGAGCAGCCAGGAAGCGAGCTGCAGATAGACGAGACCGACGCACACTCCTCCATCCCAGGTAGCCTCCCCTGGACTTCATATCAGCTGCTCCATGGAGTGGAACGTGTCCTCAAGCTTTGATTTGTGTTTTAACAATGCTGTGTGTGTGTGTGTGTGTGTGTGTGTGTGTGTTACAGAGCTGCGTAGGGACAGCACCGTGGCTCAGTCCAGCTCCAGGTCCCGGCTCACCCTGCTGCTTCAGTCGCCTAGCGCCAAGTTCCTCACCAGCCCCGACTTCTTCACCGTGCTGCATTCAAACCCTGTACGGACGCACATTTGGTTCTTCTCTCTCCTCTCCTTTTCAACCGGCCATCTATTAAGGGCCTTTTTTAAATTATTAGGAAGGTCAGAACAAGTTGGAGGTTGGAAACGTTTTAGTGTCTGACAGCTGGAGCTGTAGCTGGAGGGAAAAGCCGTCTGGGTGTTGTGTTGATAGTCTGGTTGGTGAATCACAGACTCCATCTGCATCAGATAACATATATATAGGTATATAATGGTATTGTCTGTCTCAGCTGATTATATGGCTGCAGACTCACCGCCAACAGTTTGATATCTGGAAGTGAATTGAAGCTGCAATCCTCTTTCTCCAGTTTTTGTTGGCATAGCGCTTCTTTAAGTAATGACTTTAAGCAATGGCAGAACATCTGTCCAGAGATTTGGTGTCTCACTGAAAAGGATTGTCTGTGAGCAGACGTAGTGGGAGACATATGAAGGACAGGCTTTGGTTGTCCGTTGGCGTCCTGCTGTGGAGCCTGTTTTAATACAGTGAATGTAAACTGTTGGTTTTAATTGTACATAAGAACAAATAATCGACTGTTCAACTGTCCAAGGTGATACAATTAGGAAGACAACATGACAATGAAGTGACGTTGCACAGGGATGATTTCACTTGACAACACTGGAGAGCAGCTCATGTTTTCTATGTGTGGATGCTGATGTGTGTCACTGTTTCTGGAGTTTGACTGAGAGCAGATGAAATCAAAACAATGTGATCAGTAAAGAAGAAAAACAGGTTGTGAAGGTCTGGATGTGCTCGTACAGAACGGTTAGATCCCACAGGCCTTTACTCATGTACTGTATGTGACGGTTAGACATAATGAAACTCTTCCTCTGTGACACACCTCTTTCCTTCTCCACTGTCGACCTTCTCCTGCTCTTCTCAGAGTGCCTACCGTATGTTCACCACCAACACATGTCTGAAGCATATGATCAGTAAGGTTCGTCGGGACGCTCACCACTTTGAGCGCTACCAGCACAACAGGGATCTGGTCGCCTTCCTCAACATGTTCGCTAACAAACAGCTGGAGCTGCCAAGAGGCTGGGAGATGAAGCACGACCACACTGGCAAGGTGGGCGGCACACTGGTCACATGCACTCCCTCAGGGTCTGCAGCTTGTTCACTTAAAGGCTTTACGTGTTTTGGATGCAGTCGGACGTACAGACGTCTGACTTGTGCAGATTTCTACATTTATTTCTGTTGTGTATTAAGACTAAAAATGCCAAATGTGACTTTATGATGTGTTTAACTGGTCGTTCGTGCCCCTTGACATGCGCGGGAAAAAAAAAGTTTACAAAAGGTGAAGTTTTATGAGGAAAAGTACAGTTTGTGTCATAAAATACTTGGTGCATGAAGTGAATGATAGCTGCCATCGTCCTCACCACACAGGGCGATCCTGGTTCACAGCATCAAGCAGAGAATGACTTAATTATACAAATATAAATAAATTGAATGTATGTCAAAAAGCTATACCTTTTTTTTTTTGATAAAAAAATAAATCAATACATGTTGAACATAAATAGATGGTTAAAAGCTTGATTTAACGTAATTTAATAAATGTGGCATCTTACCAAAGGTCTTTGGAGCCTTGAAACGTCCACTAGACTTGTTCTTCCAGCACATTGCACTGAAGCAGGTTAGACTGAGATCACCAGACGGGTACCAGACGGGTACCAGACGGGTACCAGACGGGTACCAGACGGGTACCAGCCGTCTGACCCGGCTGTGCAGCTCCATGCACGGCACCAGCTTTCTATCAGCCACCAATGAGGTTTTTGTGCTACCTGCTGTTTTGTTGATGCTCTGACTCACTATGATTTGTTCCTGTAAAGACTTCAGTGTTTTATGACTGTTTAGATGAACGTACTAACAGAATGGACTCGTCTTTCCTCCATGCGTGTGTCCGTATGCAGCCTTTCTTTGTCGACCATAACTGCCGTGCCACCACCTTCATCGACCCCCGGCTGCCTCTCCAGAGCTCTCGGCCCCCGAGCCTTCTGGTTCACCGTCAATACCTCACCCGTCAGCGCAGCCACAGCGCCGGAGAGGTCAGCCCACGGCGACTGGTGAGGCTAACCCTAACCCTTTGAACAGGGCAGCGAGCTGAACTGCTCGTCGCTTCACAGCAGCAGTCACGTCATGCAGACGAGCTGCAGGCCTCTTAACATGTGTTTGTGCCAAATGATACTAAAGCTGCCCTTTAAAGCCAGAAGAGCTGCACATTTATCACCTCACATCTCTGCAGGTTGGTGAAGACCCCCGTCATGCTGGTCCTCCCGTCCTGCCTCGACCTTCCAGCACCTTCACCTCTGCCAGCAGGGGGCAGAGTCCAGACATGGTGCCAGT